CTCAAATAGTGTGGTTTTTTTTGGACCAGTGACTAGCGGAAAAAAGGTTAATGTCCTAGATGGTTAATCTAGTTTTGAAATTTTGTTACTACTGAATAATAATTAAGGGTCTACTTGAAAAAATTTATGTACATTTTAATAAAAATTAATAAAATGTGTCGTTGAAAAGTTATGAGATTAGTTTGAAATTGATAAACTTTTAGCGAAATTTTATTAAATAAACATTAAATTTTAAGCATAAATTTTATTAAATGTGTCGAGGAATTTGAGAAAATCGAAAAATTCTCAATCCAAGTTCAGCTGATAATGGATATTCACTATGGATTTAAAGGTGGTGATGAAACCCAAAATTTTGCTTAGCATTTGTGCCTTGAGTTTGAAGGTTGTGATGGAGGAAGACGGTGGAGGTGACGGTGGCAGTTGTGGTTGCGGCTGCGATGGAGATGGAGATGGGAAGTGGATGTTTTCACTCAGTTGGTGTTGGGAGTGGGTGGATGGGGGTGGTTTGGGAAAGAAGAATGATGTTTTTTTTCCTTCTTAATTTTAATTTAATTATTTATGAGATATATAAATTTACTAATTTATCCTTTTAAAATTGGTCAAAATTTGGCCAAATTGTTGATTTTTGGTCAACTGACGGTTAAATGGATGGATTCCAGTCAATATGTCCTCTAGCTACAATTGAAATGAAAGGTTTTAGACTCCGTATGTAAAAATGAAAGGTTTAGGTATAACATATAATAATTTAAAAGGTTGGAGATTCCATATGTAATTCTTCATATGAAATGCACAAACTTTTACATTTCAGTGATGTTAAACAATACAATATGCCCTTCCTATTGGGTAAACTATCAATAACATCCACACATTTTGAAAATAGAACAAAACGTTTTTGTTTGAAACATTTAGTGTAGAATAACCATATGACGTTCCTTTTTTCAATAAAAAATTGTGAAATGGTGAACATAATAATAATAATAATAATAATAATAATAATAATAATAAACTATAGTTTCAAATTTTTTAAAAAAGTACAAATGAGCCCAAAAAAATTATTAAAAAATAAAAAAAAATCAATTTATCTTCCTCTTCCCATCACCACCTTTCCCACCACCACCACCGCTGAATGATTCCAAGATCGAACCAAACAGGAAGTTCCCAATGTAATCAATGTTTGAATCTTATTGCCAAAATACAAATTGGGCGGCAAATTTCCAGTTAATTTGTTGGAACTAACATCTACTTCTTGTATATTTCACCGGAAGCATCCTCAAAATCTAGGGACCAATGGCAATCTACAAGAAGTGCAACACTTGCCTTATTAAGTACTTTTTTGACAATCATTATTTTCCAAAAAAATTTACATACTCATTTTCAACTACACATTTTCAAAAATTACTATTCGAAGCTCTTTCTTCCCACAATAATGGTTGTCAAGCTGAGCTAAACATTACGATTGCGACGTCACCCACTATTTGCCTCGATCATGTGAAGGTAACTCTTATTTGTCCCCATTAAAATTATAATTTATTTTTTTCTTTCTTCTTAACAATCATACATTCTCCAACAAAATAATATTACATATAATTTCAAAACTTTTTCTTTATTTTTAATCAAACATTTTTTTAAAAAAAATTCACTATTTCAACCATTAAATTTCAAATAATGAAGGCCAAACAGGGAGTAGGTCCACAAGGA